GAAGTTTTTTTTTTTTTTTTTTTAATTGTTTTCCATCATTTAATAACAACTTTTATTTATTTATTTTTTTTTGTATTAATCGGTATCATTCAAAGTTAATAAAACTTCTGCCTATTTATTTATTAGATTTTTTTTGAACGTTAAAAAAAAAAAAAAAAAAAAACCTGATACCAAATATTTAACAACAACATAAATAAAAGTAGTTGAACAACAACAAACATTGTACGGTTTTAAATTAAAAAAAAAAACTACTTTTTTAACTAAAAAAACTACTAAAAAAAAAAACAAAAACAAAAAGTGGAGCCCAAATTGCTACAGAAATTTTTTTTAAATTTTTGGTTTTGGTTTTTTAATATTATGTTGTACGATTGAAAAATTTTTTTTTTTTTTTTTTTTTTTTTAAAAGGGGACCAACAGAAAGTTTCAAAGTTGTGTTGTCCTTTGTTAAATTCAATCAGAAAAAAATAAAATAATAATAATAATAATAATTGAAAATATAAATGTTAACATTTATAAGAACAGATAGAGATAGAGAGAGAGAAAGAAAAAGAGATAGAAAATTTATTGTAATTTGGGCAATGAAACATATCAAGTAATGTTTTAATATGGATCGGACAACAATTTTTGTAATTGTACTACACATACCAAAAAAAATTATGTTTTTTCAAAATTATTATCATTATTATCGAAATCGTTTCTTTTAATTGTTTATTTTTTTTTGTTTTTATAAAACCCTGGTATGTGTTTTTTTTTTTTTTTTTTTTTAAAGTCCGTCCTAGTCCGTCTGTTTTATTAACAAAAAAAAAATTTCCATAAATAATTATTTCCAATTTCAAAAAAAAAATTTAATAATTTTTTTTTTTTTTTTTTTTTTTATTTATAAACAAAATTTATTTATTCAGTATTGTTTTTAAATAAATAAAATGAATGAATTAATAATAATAAATGTATCAGTTGGAAAAAGAAAAAAAAAAAAATGTACAAAATAACTGTTTTGGTCGCCATTATTATTATTATTTAAATTTAAATTTAATTATTTTATTATTATTATTATTATTATTATTATTATATTTATTTTTATCTTATTCAACAAAAAATTATGTTGAAATAATTTTAAAAAAATTATTATTATTATTTTTTTTTGTCGTTTTTGTGATGATTTTGTATTCAAAAACAAGGAAAAATTTTCAAAAATTATTATTATTATTTATAAAATTTTTGCGATTGAAACAGTTATTTTTCAAGAGGAAAATGTAAAATTTTTTTTTTTTTTTTTTTTTTTTTTTTGTAAAAGGAAGAGAAAATAAATTTGATTTTATACTTAAAAAAGAAAAAAATTTTTTGTTTTTTTTTTTGGTTTTATGCCTAATAAGCAATGTGATCCCCCTAATGGTTTCTTTCTCTATTTATTTTGAAAAGTTATGAAATTTTGCAATTTTTCCTTTTTTATCATCAAGCTTGCAATGATTCATTTTAAGGGAAAACACTGATAAGGAACAAGAATATGTAGGAGGTACGAGAGCAAGAAAAACAAAACAAGAAAATTGCATAAATTGACATAAATCCCTGTAAGAGTTAAGTGGTTGTGACCAATAATTTAATATATATATTGTATAAAATATTAAAATAAATTAGTTGACACAACTATTTAAAAAAAAATTTAGTTTATTTAATAATAAGGGGTTTGTTTAGGGGTTAGTTTTTGATGATCCTTTGATTTAATTGTTTTAAAGGACACTAACTACATTTTTTTTTTTTTTTTATTAAATTCAAATGTCAGAGGATGTCTTAAGCAATTTTACAATTTGTTTGTTTTTGAAACCAAATATTATTACAACGAAGAATGATTTTTAACACGATTCCGTTAATATATATTTTAAAATAAAGTATGATATAAAATTTGTCATTTTATTTATAAAATGAAAGAGGTAAAAAAAAAAAAAAAAAAGAATTAAAATTCTATCGTTAAGCATTAGTGAATGTGAATCACGGAGCAAAATTTTGAAGGTTTCCCCATTAAAAATTATTTTATTTGTTGCTTAATGATTATTATTATTGATTATTATACTTGTATTATTATTATTTCTGTCGAAACGAAATGTTTTTTTTTTTTAAATCAAGGTTTATGTTATGCACTTATTTGTATTATAAAGTGGGTAGATTGCAAAATGTAAAAAAAAAAAAAAAAAAAAAACGAATTCATTATTGTATGACTAAAAAAAAAAAAAAAGTGTCATTAAACAATAAAAACCGTTCTGGAACAAACGGAGAGTGCTTTTAGTCTGAAATTAATTTTAAATTTTGATTATTTTTTTTTTTTTTTTACATGTATTATCATTTTGTTAAAGTAAAATCATTATTATTTTTAGTTAAACGTTTAATTTAATCAAAATTGCAAAGAAAAAAAGTAAATTTTTCTTTTTTCGATATGAATTAACTTAAATACTGATTAATAACACATTTATAATAGCATAAATGAAGTTAAATATTAAGTGCTTGTAGAAATTTGTTATATAAAAAAAAAGGTTAAATGATTTTCGTAAGGTAATTGAAAAATGGAGGAAGACAGCACTACAGAGGATGATTTTCCTGGAAAGCTTTTACATCAGGTAACATTTTTAATTTCCAATCAAAAAGGTTTTTTATTCTATTATTTTTATAAATTAAATTTAAATTGATTTTTTTTTTTAAAAAGAATAAACTTATCTTTTAACGTTTAAATAAATAAAATATTCCGGACGAAAAACTGGGTTGAATGGCTCAATGATTTTAGTGGCTTTTTATGTAATAATAAATATTGTTACGAATTTAAAAACAGTTCTTATAAGTTTAATTAATAAATTTACAGGCTGCTTTATGGGATAATTATGAACTTTTGGAAGATTTGTTAAAGGGTGAACAAAAGGGTCACTTAAATAGTAAAGATTCTTGGGGAAGAACTCCCTTGCATGCAGCTGCACTTACAGAAAATTCTAAATGCCTTGAAGTTTTATTAAAATCTGGAGGTATGCACTACTTTTAATTTAAAAGGAAAATTCAATTAATGTTACACTTAAGAATTTAATTTTAATCAATTGTAAAAATTTTCATTGAAATTACAGCCAACCCTGACATTCCATCAGGTTCAAAAGGAGAACTGAGGGTAAGGTAATTGGTTTTTTTTTTTTTTTTTTTTTTAAGTTATTCTAAAAATTGTTACATTTTAATTGATCATTAATAGTTTTTGTAGTTTCACTTAAATATTTTAATTTCATTGATTCGAATTACATTTTTTAATGTGTAAAAGTAATGTAGTGAAATATTTTCAGACTGCACTACACATTAGTGCCGAATGTGGTCACATGAAGAACGTTAAACTTTTACTGAAATATGGTGCTAAATTGACTGCCAAAGATAAATTAGGTTTGACACCATTAGATTTGGCAGAAAGAAGTGAACAAAAAGAATGTGTTCCTTTTTTACAAGAAGAAGCTAGTATGTAAAAGTACTTATTACTTTAGAAATACAATATTTTCATGAAAATTGTCCAAGTTTGTTTTATAATTTTTATTTAGATAAAAAAGAAGAATACAAAATACAATTACACATGTTATTGAGAGAAGCATGCTTGTCAAAAGATCTTGACAAAGTTAAATCATTACTTAAAGATACAGATTTAGATTTAAAAGAAATAACCAATTTTGCTCCTAATGGATCTAATACTCTACTATATTTGTGAGTAAAAATTAATCGAGAGAATTATCTTTTTAAATTTTCTGAATTTCACAAACGAATAAGCTTCCATAGATTAACTTTTGTAAGAATTTGTGTTATCGAAACTTGATTGTTTTACCAGATGTACTGAAGTCAACCATAAGGATTTAATTACACTATTACTGGAGCATGGGGCTGATGGAAGATATCATCCTGTCACTAAATATTCTCCTTTGTATATTGCCTGTTATAATGGTTACACCGAGTGTGCTGAAATTTTATTAAAAAAATTTCCTGCTTTGGCCAATCATTGGACTGTAGAAAAATGGCTGCCTATACATGCCGCTTGTATTGGTGGTCATGTCAAAGTTTTGGAGCTATTGTTAAACTTTGATTATCCTCAAGAATTTCTAGTCAAATATTGGTTAGCGATTTGTAAAATATGACCAATTTTTTAATTTGGATTTTATTAATATTTTTTTTTATTTTTAGTGATATAAGTGGTGAATGGGAATATGAAATGCCCTTTGATATTAACATGAAAGATGCGAACGGACAAACAGTATTATATTTAGCTAGTCTCTTGGGAAATTATCCAATGGTAGAAGCTTTACTAAAATTTAAAATTAAAGCTGTGAAAATAAAAAAAAAAAATCAGAAATCGTGTTCTGAAAATGAAAAAAATTTAGAAACCTTAAATAAAAAAAGAATTTCTGGAGGGATTCAAAATATTATGTATCGATTGAATCTGCAAAGTAAATTTGAAGTAAATCATTTTAAATTTATTTATTTGAAATAGTACATGGACTTTGCAATGAACAGGAAAACTAATTTTTTTTTTTTTTTTTTTTAAAGTTCGACAGGAAAAAAGAAACGGAAAAATTTATTAATCCTATTATTCTCGATAGCTATTGTTCCGATGCTTTTGACACTGCATTACATGTTGCTATAAAAAATAAACATCGAGAAATTTCTCTGCTATTACTCAAATCAGGAGCTGATCCAAATCTTTCAACATTGAGGGTTAGTAAATTTTAGTGAGTAATAATTTAAATATAAATTTTTTTTTTTAATTTTTAATTTTCACGTTTACAGACATCCAGAATTAGAGATGATGAAAATATAAGTAATAGTTGTTTGGAAGAAGCTTGTAAGAAAAGAGATATTATTTTAATAGATGCGCTATTGAAACATGGAGCAAGAGATGAAAATTCAACAGCTTTAAAAATTGCTGTTGATAATAAGGACGACACGTTAATGTCGAAATTGCTCGCAATAAGGGTAAGTCATAAGACAGATTTACAAGTTGCAATTAAGTTACTAAAAAAATTAAATAGAACAATTGTTCAATTTTCAATGTAAGTATAAATTAATGATTTAATAATTAAACAAAACTATTAAATATTTTAGATTTATTATTACAGGCATATCCTGATCCGGATTATAAATTAAACAAGAAAGCAATGACTGAACAATTACCAAATCAAGGTCTTGTCTCATCTGCTACTCTCACTTATAGTTCTGTTTTTCCTAATACCCCGGTAATGATAAATTGGCATGGAACTAAATGTCACCTTACCGAAGTCAAATTGATTTGGCTGGTAAGATTAATAACACAAATCTATAATCATTAGTAAAAAAGTATTCAATTTTTTTTTTTTGAATTTTGATGGAAAAATTTCACGTTCATATTTATTTTATTATTGTAGGTAGAAGCAGCACTACATATTAATCCAAAATTGAAGCTTAATCCAAAAAATTTAGATGTTGTACTCTTTGCAATTACGCGACTCGATTTAAGCAATAACGCTTTAACTACTTTACCTCTTTCAGTTTTTCAACTACCTAGTTTGAGGTACGTTGAGATGCATGCTTTTAGAAAAAATAAAAATGATTATTTTGTTATTATAAAATTCTGTTTTGTTTTAACAGGTATCTTAATTTATCTCAGAACAAATTAGAAAAGTTACCCGGAGATGATTATGTTGTTAAAGAATCTCCCGGCGCAAAAAAAACTAAATACAATCTTCCAGTAATTGAAGAAATATGTTGTCAAAATAATCGATTAGAAACTGTTCCCGAGCAAATTTTCACTCTCTCATCATTGACGTCATTAGATTTATCAAATAATAAATTACAAAAAATGCCTGCCAATATGTGGACGGCTCCCCAACTGAAAGAATTGAATGTTTCTTTGAATTTGCTCAAAGATCTACCTTCAAATATTAATTTATCTGGATTAAAATTTGATTCTTCTTCCAAGGTCAATTTTACATTCATTTTTAAAATTATTTTTTTTACCATTACTAATTCGAATTAATTTTAAAAAATTATTTTTTTGTTCACAAATTTACAGACTAAAAATCTACCAGATTCAAAATCCACCGAAAAATTTGTTCCTTGCGATGTTTTCGAAAAGAAAAATACCAACTATAACGAAAACATTTTTTATGGTAAATCCATCGTGTAAGTAAAACCGAGTATTTATATTGTATTTATATATATTTATATATTTATATATTTATATATTTGTATTTATAGTTGAAATTTAGAATTGCATTTTATTTTAATATTAATATCAGTATTGTATTTTTATAGCATGAAAGAATTAAAACATGCCAACATTTGGAATTCAGCGGTAAATATTACAGAGCGAATTATAACAGAAGAATGCGAGCAAAATTGTTCTCAGTTGACCTCCTTAAATTTGGCACATAATTCATTCGATTCCGTTCCTCCTATGTTAGCTTGCATAGCAGTCAATTTATTGAAACTTAACATGTCCTACAATAGGTACCATTTATGTTTTAAAGACGTCAATTTCTTTTTAAGTAAATTTTTTACTACTATTATTATTACAAATTGAAATTTTTAGGTTAAAATCAATGGGACACATTATATCATTTCCATACTCACTAAAACAATTGGATTTATCGAATAATTGCATTTCGAATTGGTTCGATTTAAATTTATCGGAATCCGAAGAAGAATCGTACAACATGTGTTTTTCCAATGAGTCTTTCAAAGGAACCAAATTAATTTCGAACTCTCATAATAGTACCGGTCATCGATTAATGAATAATTTATGTCCTCACAGGAGGCATTTAAAATTGGATAATTTGAGAACTCTTATTCTGGCCAATAATAATTTAGAAAAAATTTGTTTGACCTCGGAAAAAGATTTCAGCGACAGTGAAGATGGGCATTGGGTAAATAAATTTTTTTGTATTTTCAAATTTTAATATTTAATTTTATTATATAAATTTAAAATGTCAGGTATCGTACATAGAATTTCAAAAAATTGCTTTTAAACTTTAATTGTAAACCAAAAAAAAAAATCATGTTAATTGATTTTAAATTGGAATTCAATTATAATTTTTTTTTTTATTTTAGGAAACGGTTGGCGTTTGTGGAAATATAAAAAATAAATTTTTATTTCCATGTTTAAGCATGTTAGATTTAAGTAATAATTTATTAAAAGAAATTTCGCATAATATTCACGAACTGACAAACCTCTCGGTTCTAAATATAAGTGGAAACGTTGAAATTACCGAGTTACCACCTCAAATGGGTTTATTATCAAGATTGTGGAATTTGAACACGGCTGGATGTAATTTACAAGAGCCATTAAGATCAATGATCGAGTCCAAAAAGTACAAAACAATGGACGTGATTGGATACTTGAAAAGTATTTTGGAAGACGCACGTCCTTATGCGCGTATAAAATTGATGATTGTCGGAGTGCAGGTAAGCAATAAGTAAAAAAAAAACCTAATTAATATCCAGATTGATGAAATTAAAAAACGGTTTTTAAAATTTTAGGGTATAGGAAAAACGAGCCTTTTAGAACAATTACGTCAGGAAGGATTAAGTTATAAAAGGAAACCTCACGATCATTGGGTGAAAAGAATGGGTAGTAAAAACATCAATGCGAAAAATTTTAGAGGCGTGAATATGTCAACCGTGGGAGTCGATATTGGCGTTTGGGTATACGATAAAAAAGGGAAAACTCAATCTAAAGGTCCCGTGATATTCAGGTAGTAAAATTTTAACGTTATTCTTTGTTCCTTTTATTCAAATTAAATTTTTTTTGAATAAAAACCATTAAACTCGACAGGACTTGGGATTTTGGCGGTCAGAAAGAATATTACGCTACTCATCAGTATTTTTTATCGAAAAGAAGTTTGTACCTTGTCGTTTGGAAAATATCGGACGGGAAAAAGGGAATAAGGGAAATTAGACAGTGGTTGGTTAATATACAAGCTCGAGCACCAAATTCTCCAGTGTTGATCGTTGGAACTCATTACGATGAAATGATCGAAAAAAGTCTTTTACATCTGAGTGAAGATTTACAGCAAATTATTCGTAATAAGTACGATTTTTGATTTTATTAAATATTTTATTATTTTGATTTTATTTTTTTATTTTGTCGCTAATGTAATTTTTTAATATTTCAGGTTTATTAATATAGTGGACGCCGAAAAATGCGGGTTGCCTCGTGTACTAGATACAGTTGAAGTCAGTTGCAGGAATCGACATAATATTAAATATTTATGTAATCTTATATATGACACCGTTTACAGCTTAAAGCATCCAGGTACTTTTTTATTTATTTATTTATTTAAAAAAAATTATTTTATTGTGCTTAATTATTTTTTTACGAAAAAAAAAATTTTTTTTTAGTAATTTTTCTTTTTGAAATAAATTCTAAAACGTTTACTTAGATATTTAGTAGTAATATTGCATATTTTAGGTCCGTTTAAAATTGTTAGAACTAACCTCCTTTTACTGTTATGCAGAATGATGCTATTGAAAACTTAAGTTTTGGTATGAGAGTATTGTATTGCTTTTAATTAAAAATTTCTTTATTTAAAAAACGTTACAAAAAAAAAAAAAAAATGCGGTAAAGAAAGCAAATCACTTTGTTATTTTTTTTTAATAATTTTCAGGAGGTAAAGAATTACTTCTTGAACAACGCGTGCCTGCTAGCTATCTCGCTCTTGAAGATGTCGTTATTCATTTGGCTGCTGAAAGACGAGCCAACGGAACTGATCCCGTTTTAAATTCAGAGCAGTATAAAACCGTTGTCGAAACGGAAATGCAGTATCGATATCATAAATCTTTTAGAGATTGGCCAGAACTATATCAAGCAACTTTATTTCTTCATGAAAATGGTGCGTCGTATTAATAAATAATAATGAAAATATAATTTGATAATAATTAATTTGATTTTTTTTATATCAAGGTGTCTTACTTCATTATGAAGATTCAACGTTAAGAAATTTATATTTTTTGGATCCTCAATGGCTTTGTGATATGCTTGCTCACGTGGTGACCATACGTGAAATTAATCCTTTTGCCAGAACAGGTAATAATAAAATGAGAGGAATTATAATGTGAGAACGTTGAGAAATATGAGAAAAACTCTTGTTTTAAATTTATTTAGGAATTATGAAATTGTCCGATTTAAAACATATCTTTAAATCATCGAGCGTGAGCAGTACAGATACCAGGAGCTACATAGTCAGTCTTCTCAATAAATTTGAAGTTGCTTTAACATGGGACAATTGTTCTTTGCTCATTCCTTCTTTGTTGCCTTCTGAAGAGGATTTCAACACTCCCTTTTCTTCCGCAGTTAGAGTAAAAGTAAGATATTTTAAATTAATATAATTTTACTTAAAATTCCTATATAAGTGGACTATATAACTATCCACTTTTTTAATTATTGATTGCGGGCTTTATTAATATTTGCATTATACCTATTTTTTTTTTTTCTTTTTAAATAGATTCCTGTCAGATCAAGAGGATGGGCGGTGAGAGCAAAAAAATTGACAGTTTCAACTTCTTCTACTTTAGTAGGAAGTTCTTTGTATTCAACGATCGGAGATCGAACTTTTCCTCATGTGCAAGACTCTTCTCACTTGGTATCTCCAGGAAGAGATGATACTCAAAAAGAAATCACGCCTGAATTTGAAATCATAGTAGAGCGTCATCCAGAAAAGACGATTTGTAGATTCCTGTTTATGAGTTACTTTCCTTCTGGATTTTGGTCTCGTTTAATTACTCGGATGTTGGCAGATGATGCCATTATTGAAATAGTTCGAGGTTATTTTTCGATGCCTAAAGAAATGAAAACAGATTTCCGATTGGCCAAGTGGTTGGACATTCGCACAGAATGGATACTATGGCAAACAGGAATGTCTTTGCAATACGGTTCTATTACTTTATTTAAAATGAAAGAAATATTACCGGGATCCAAATCGGTTACTAATGATAATAGAAATTTTAAGTTTCGTCTTCAACAGGAAGGATCGTGGCTGGACATGGATCTCTCTAATTCTTCAATTTTAGAAATTAATTTTCCTTTCGATTCCGTTATTGTTAAACAAATTAAAGGAATCGATAACACGCAAATTGTAAATTTACATCCCAATCCAGAACATGTGGCTAAACTATTGGCCTTAACTGTGGATCACATTGACATTCTACTGGAAGATTGGTATCCGACTTTGGGAACAAGATTTGTGCATACATCAGAGGGAAAATTTTTAGTGACGCGTTTAATACCTTGTCCGAGGTGTTGGTCAGAGAACAACGAAAAATTTACTAGTAATTACAATGAAATATATCAAAACGTTGATGAGTGTATTGAAAATGATTTGGATATTCGCAAAAAATGGCGTTCGCAGGAAAGCATGACCTCTGATGTAGACTCAGGCGTAGGAGCCGAAAGTTTCTCTTCTAGTAGAAAACCATCCATGGATGATCATCCGGATATAGGTGAAGAAGTTTTCAAAAACGAAAGTGTTCCGGTATTCAGTTGGATGGTTGAGGAATGCATTTTAGCAGCTTGCAAAAGCAATTTTGTGTTGTGTCCATCTCACGGAGAAACAAATTTAGCGAACATAGCTCCCGATGTTATATTTTTAGATTTGGGGGAAAAGCATTTAATCAAAAGTGAAAATATAAATAAGGGGTCTTTATTGGGTAGGGGAGCTTTTGGTTTTGTTTTTAAAGGTACGTGTAAAATCCGCGGACCCCAAGAAGAAGCTGACGTGGCCTTAAAAATGTTACAACCGGTGCAGCCTGGTGTAAATGCCAGGCACTCAGCAATTATGGCTTTTAAAGTAGCTTTAAGTAAATGGGACCGAGATCCATTGCAATATGCTTGTAAAGCTTATTGCACAGCACGTCAGGAACTAAATATTTTACTTAACCTGCGTCATTCAAATATTATACCTCTTATTGGAGTTTGCCCCCGTCCTTTGGCTTTAATACTAGATTTAGCTCCCCAAGGAGCTTTGGATGCAGTTTTAAAAAATTACCGAAGATCTGGGGCAAAGTTAATATCGAGCAGCTTACAAGAAATCATTCTTCAAGTAGCAAAAGCCATTGAATACCTTCATCAGCAACATATTATTTACAGAGATTTAAAGTCGGAAAATGTTTTGGTTTGGAATTTACCTTCTCCCTTTCAGGTAACATTATTTTATTCCTAATACTCCTAAATATTTTCAAAGTTAAATTTTATAATATTTAAAATGTATTTGGTTTTAGAAAAATTCAGCATCGGTTCATGTAAAATTGGCTGATTATGGAATCAGTCGGTTGACTTTGCCTTCTGGCAGCAAAGGTTTTGGAGGTACTGAAGGATTTATGGCACCAGAAATTATGAAATACAATGGAGAAGAGGAATATACGGAGAAAGTAGATTGTTTTTCATTTGGAATGTTTATCTACGAATTACTTACTCTTCATCAACCTTTTGAAGGTTACGAATCTGTTAAAGAGTGCATTTTAGAAGGAGGCAGACCTCCTTTAACATCCCACGAAACATTATACCCCAGTGGTATTTTGGATTTAATGGTATTATGTTGGGCGCAGAGACCCACAGACCGACCCTCCGCTAGTCAAATTGTTTCCATTGCTTCTTCTCCTGAATTTATACAATTATATGATTGCGTTGCTTTAGACTACTTAGAAAAAGTCAATGCTGCTGTTTCGAAAATAATTATAAATGCAGATGATAATATTTATCACGGGGAGTTTTGGGTTGCCGGAGATTCACGCTTGGATTTACTCACAACTTCTCAATGCGGTTGGGATATTTATGGTACGGTGCCGTTGAGCACACCAGCAACAGCTTTAAATATTATTAACGAAGAAATTTGGATCGGAGATTCAAAAGGTGTTGTTTATGCTTACCAAAAGAAAAATTTTACTAATATTTGGAAATACGAATTGGGAGATGCTCCAATCGTGGCCATTTTGTTTCTCGCGGAATTAAATAGGGTAGCTATAGGACTGAGTAACGGGAGGTTATTTTTGGTTAGAAGCGATGTTTCACCCTCTAGTGCAACAATGGCGGAAGGTAGTTTTGTAATGACCGAACTGGGTAGCAGTGAAAATTTATTTTCATTAGCTCATATTCAAACCGATACTCACGCTTGTGAGGTATGGGTTGGAGAAGCTTCCGGTTATATATCTATTTTCACAATCAGAGAAGAGATTGTTACCGGTCACGATTGCGTCAATCATTATAACCCAATAATTGAGAAAATCGATAGAGTAGAGGTAGTTTCTTCTCAAAGTTTTGGAGTGTGTTCATACGTATATCCAGGTTGCGTCGTTTATCAATGGGATACTGAAACCAGGGAAATAACGGCGACTTTAGATTGTACCAAACTTGTTCCCTGTTCAGAAAGTTTAAAACCTCTGACAATAGAAGATCTTGCGGAAAAGTGTCAAGTGTCCGCCGTTTCAATATTTCAAAATTTTGTTTATGTTGGTACGACTTGGGGATGCGTGATTGTGGCGGAAAGATTATGTTTGTATCCTCTAATGGTGTTTCGACCTTTTGAAGAAGAAGTTCGATTCATATCACCTTTGATTGCACTTAACGATGATAATTGTAACAGAAATGAAATAATTTTGGTGGGAAGGGGTTACCGAAGTTTGTCTGCCAGAAATACAGATATGGTGTTGACACCAAATCAATTTTCTCCTTCCCATAACAAGAAACCAAACGTTCATTTACTTCTATGGACACACTTTCAATAGAAATCTAATAAAATCTAAATAATTAATAAATTAACATGTAAATAGTTTTATAAAACTCAATTTCATCGACGTAAACTCCCAGGATTAAAAAACAAATAATAATAATAATAATAATAATAATAAATTTTAAATTGTAATATTTATTAATTATTTTTTCAAGCCAAAAATGACAGTGTTAAAGTTTACACCGAGGCACGAGCTTTATTTTAAGATTTTTTGTTTCTTTCTGAGTAAATTTTTAAATTTTTATAACGTAAAAAGATTATTAATTTATTATTTTTAATAGACATTATGAATTTAAAAAAAAAATAAAAACTCATCTTCATTTAATTATTGTTATATTTTTTCATTTGGCGCCATTATTAATCCGTTGAATGATATACTAAACGTCGAATTCTTTTATTATTAATATTACAATAACAGTTTTGAATTCGCAATCAATTTAATTTTGTGTGCAACTTGGATAATAGTTAAGTAATTTATATTTAGATTTTATAATATAATTTGATTAGTAGTAACAGAAATAAAAATTTATGAATGAGCTTAATTAAATTTTAATAATGTAACTGTAAACAATTACAAGTTATAAAATATTTCTTTGATTATAATGAATGATTGATAATAAATTTGGTAAAGTTAACAATTTTTTTAATTTGAATAAAAGTTATGTGATATTCAAGGTAAATCATTTAAAAAAAAAAAAAAGTGGAATTTGAGTTTTTTACAATAATATTCAAAATAACGACATTTTATTATTATTTAAATTAATGCCTATGGTGCTAAGTATATTTACTCTATGGTTCTTACTTGATAATTATTTAATGTGTCAAGTATTAGGCCCATTATTTTTAAAATAAATTTAACTCATGTAGTCATGTGAAATTAATATTTATTAGCAAAATGAAATTAAAATTTATAACTAGTTATTTACTGCTTTTGTCAGTTTTTCATGTAATGGGTTTAGAAACGATAGACCCAAATTTAAAAGGTTTCGATGATAGTATTTTATTTAAAATTAATTGGCCTGGAAAAGATGATGTCACGAATGATATTTTAGTAATAATAAAATATTTATTTTTATTTAAAATTGTTATAAAAACTTGTTTTAATTTAAAACGTCAACTTTTATTTAGGACTTTTCTGATCAATTTCAAATGACAGTTACGACTGAAAATAAAGAAAAATATAGATGTCAAATTCCGCAGCTACAAGAAAAAGAAAAAAATCACAATGAAAAATATTTTGGTCCTAATCCTTTAGATTTATTGTCAGTTTTATTCAAACAATCCTCCTGTTCTCACAGGGTAAATTATATTTAATATTTTATTTATAGATGCAAATTTTCTTTTTTTTTTTTTGTGTACTGTTACAGTTAATGTGAAAGTTATTATTATCATTTTAATATTTATTTGAAGTAAAGTAATATAAATTTTAGTTGGAAGCATATTGGACATATGAACTTTGTCATGGAAAATATATCAGGCAGTATCATGAAGAAAGAGAAGGCAAAACTGTAAAACTTCAAGAATATTATCTTGGAATGTGGGATGCTACTCGACAGCAAAACTTGAGTGAGTAAAACCTAATTTTGTTATTTTATAAATTTTTATCATTTTATTACTAAATGTTGTAGTTTTTTAATGAAAATTTCTTAATTTTAAATTACAACATTTAAAATAATGATTATTAACTACTTATTTTAAAATGTGACTTAAGTTAAACATTTTTGAAAGATAATAATAAATAAAAGTACTCTATGATAGTAAAGAATACCATAATTTGTTTTATTTCTAAAATAGTTTAATTTTACATAATAATAATAATAATAATAATAAAAAAATAATGAATGTGGTTTAAAAATTGTTGCAGAAGTTAACATATATTTAAATAATTGTAGGACAACAGTTAGCAGATGAAATTTCTAAATCTACAGACCATGTTCCGATTAAAAAAATAGATGGCTTAAATATGCCTTATTTACAATTAAACATGAGCGATGGGACACTTTGTGATTTAAATTCAAAACCTAGACAAACCAAAGTTTTATATATTTGTTACATTCATGGAAAACATGAAATATATTCATTAAAAGAAACATCCATTTGTGAATATGAAATCATAGTTTTATCTCCCCTTTTATGTGATCATCCGAAATACAGGTATGTTGGATATATATTAATTTTTTTTTTGTTTCAAAAGCAAAATATGAATTTATTTTTATCATTCAAAGAAATGTTTAATTTTTTAGACCTCAAGAAACTGGTGAACATTCAATAAATTGCCTTCCGATAGGGGATTCGCCTAAAAAACCTAAAAATTTATTACAGTTGGAAGCAGAAAGTTTAAAATTGAAACATCAAAAGGCAAATGTGAGTTTGAAATTTATACAGTTTTATTTAAAAAACATTGGTTAAAATTTACTATTCAAAATTATCCTTATTTTTTTTTTTTTTATATATTTGATTTCACATTAAAATATATAAATTATTTTTGATAATTAAGTTTGTTTTGAATGTTCTGGTTTGGTAAATATTTCATTAAATTGTATTGCATATTACTTTTTATTTAATTTTAATTTTATTAGTAGTTACAATTTTTTTTTTTTTTTGCATATAATATAATAATTTAATATTATTTCAAATTTTTTTTTGTAAATATGATAGTAAATTAGTTTATTTTAATAAGTTAGTTCGTGAAAAAGTTTACAAAATAATTGAATCACAATGTGAGATGTTTAAATTGTGAAATGTAAGTCAATAATTATGAATTTTTGACGACTGCATATCATAAATGGAATATTTTATAAAATTATTACATATTTGAAAAGCATTTTTAGTTAATTAGTTATATGGAGTGTTTTAAACTAAATTTATTATAAAAAAACTAACAGGTGGTTAAAAAAAAAAAGAAGGTTTAAGTAATATGTTATATTTATAATAATAATTTATTGAGTTATTTGCCAAAACAGGACGTTTGTAGAAAGTGCATTTAATGCTCTTTATTTAAAATTACAGTGTCAGTTTATTTCTTTACACAAGACTCATTGTTTGTAGGATGAAAAGATAAAAAGTGTCCTCGCAGTGTTCTCAGTTGACAAAGGTGCAGAAGAGGTTTGTTAATTTTTTTCTTTTCCAATTATCATTATGATTTATCTCGTTTAAATTCCTCATCGACTATACATACATATATTTGTAAGTGAATCTTTTCAACTTATGTGAGGGGGGGTCTTTTTGTCCTGTGACTAAAAATTAAATTTTATCTTATACTTTTAAAAATAATAATAATAATGATGTGACTAAATATTTTTGATGTTTTTTTTTTAAAAACTTTTTTTGTTATAAGACAACAAAATTTAGGAATTGTGTGTCAGTTTTTGTACTTAGATTTAGCAATGAGTCTTGAAAAAATTTTAAACGATTGAAATAAATCTGTTTTTAATTTTTTAAAATTTTTCCATACATTTTTCTCAGAAAGAATTGTTTTAAAAAAATATTTTAATTATACACAAAACTATGCAGTATCAAATCGTCAAATTTCGTTATATTTATTACAAAAAAAAAAAAAATTGAAATTAATTTTTTTTTTTTTTTTTTTTGTCTCCACAGGATTTGTCACAATTAAGAGTTGAAATTCATCCCATCGATGCGGATAACGAAGTTGAAACTCAAACCTCAGTTGTTACGCCAATCACTACAGAACCTGTACCGCCATTAGTAGATATGTCATCAAACGTCATTTTATCTGGGCCAGATTGTATTCAAGGCGTATGTACTTTCAGATTTTTTCACATTTAGAAAAAAATTTTTAAGTAATAATAATAATAATAATGAAATTTTTAAAGGATTTCGGATGGTGGAAATACGAATTTTGTCATGGCAAATATATAATTCAATACCACATTGAAAAAGATGGGTCAAAGACTGTTATGAATTTAGGTAATTTTGTCAAATCTGCACATTTAGAATGGTTAAATGCAAATCCTCATAAAAGACCGGAGCCATTGTCGGTTAGAAAACATGTTTCTCATTTTTATAGTGGAGGTACTATTTGTGGAATGACTGGTAAAGCAAGGCAAACTGAGGTGAGTTATTTTTAATTTACATAGTTTTACTAATTTTACAAGTAAAGGAGAGTTACATGATTGAACCTGATATTAAAGTAATGAGAAATACACATGCAGAGATTGTCCAACATGTAAATTATAATGTTTAGTGATTGTTATAATAAAAATTTAATATGTGGTGATCATATAAATACAAACACGGATAAAACATAGAAGAACCACAAGAAATAAATAAATAAAACGCGTTTTAGGTTAAATTAAAATGTCTGAATGGAAAATATAATGATGGTGGAGTTTCGTTGTATCTTCTCGAACCCAAAGTTTGCCAATATATTCTGGTTGTCGAAACGAAAGAAATTTGTTACTTTTTAACAAAAGTCGACGAGAATGGTCTTTACGACCCGAAAGAAGAACTCGGAACCACCGAACATTATAAAAATAAATTTGAATCGGAAATTTCTTTTAAATCAAAAGAAAGTAACCAGAAAACATTTTTCGAAACGAAATCATCACTCGATGAAACAACTCATCAACCTAAAAAAAATAATGAACAGTTAGAAATAATTAATGAAGAGGTCGGATTGGATAATCATATTCCTGACGGTGACGAATAGTTTAAAAAAAAAAAAACAGTTGTAATTAACTTTAATTTAATCAAGTATAATTTATTTAGAATGTTATGAGATGACTACAATAAATAAATAAAAAATTCAGTAAAATAATATTTCAATATGAATTCCATTGTTTGTTGGTTTCTGTTGTGTAAAGTTTAAATAGCAGTGATATTGTGAAAATGCTTAATTTTTTTTTTTTTTTACTACATCGATTTCGATACATAAATATATACCCTATTTTAATATTGTTTATTTAAAAAAAAAAAATTTACTTAGTCTGATAATTTTCTCCCATTGATTTTACTAAATAATTCATATAATAAACCATCTCTTGTCCAGGCTACATCAGGTTCATTCAAATAAGATTCAGGATGCAAAAGTTTTATCAATAATCTAAAATTGACTTCTTCGAAATTTGCAAAAGCTGAATGTTGTAAAATATCATTTTCTAAATCCTTATAGGTAGCTATATTTTTAACTCCAACTCTAAAACAATACAAATTAATTATTAATAATAATATCAATTTGTGAATTTAGCAGTAGTAAAATTAAAAATACTTACAAAGGAGCTTTTGCTATTTCATAAGTTAACCCATCGTCACATAAGTCATCTATACTTGGTATTACTGGAATATCTAAAAAAAAAAAAAAAAAATAATTGTTCATGTTTTCATATAAAAAATAAGTAATCAGTTCTTGTACAATAAGAAACTTAAAGTAATTAAATTAAATTTTAGAAATAATTTTAATAATATTATGGATGTAATTTTTTTTTTCCATACCATCAATGTAGTCTTTTTTATTATCCTCAGTGTCACTTTTACTAAAACAAAGGAAAATAATAAATAAATAATATTAATTTTATTTTATAAAGTATATAGATATTACACTTACTTATCAGGTTTCACATTTTCAATATTCCATTCACTTATTTTTTTTCTACTAAACATTAAATCTGTGTGACTGCCTGAAGCTCCTACATTACTTTCTTTGGAATCATCTCTGGGACTGAGAAAAAAACTTAAACCACCTTTCATAAACTTTTTCGAAGAACTCTAAAAGCATTAAGGAATTATAAAGAAATTTTTAGTTTTTTTTATTCTAGTTTAGAAAAAAAAAAAAAAAAAAACTAGTAGTATTAGGTACCTTTCTAAGCTTTTTAAAATCCATACTCCACTTTTCTTCCATATAAATATATAATATTTATTTGTTAACGCAGATGTCAAAAAAAATTATAAATAAATGTTTATTAGGAATTTATAAAATTAAAAAAAATTAAATTTTAAAATAACAACAAATGTTAAAAACGTTTGTTACAAGTTCAAAATTTATACATGCAAAGGACTTTAAAAGTTTAAATACATAATTATATCTTTATTTAATAAAATAAAATATTGTACAATTTATAACAAATGTAATTTTACAAAATATTGTAAAATAACTGAAATGCGAACATTTCAAATTTACTTTGACATATTATTGTTATTATTATGTTTATTGTTTTTTTTTTTAATTTCACTGCCTTCTTGTAAATCCTTAATGATTAATAATCGTTAGAAGGAAATTTTTTTTTTTTCCTTTCCATAAGCTAAGTACATAACTTGTAAAAAGGTTGGCAACGAAATACGGTAACAAATTATAAAAATCCTAATTAATAGGAAGTTTTCATAAATGAAATTTATGAAAACTAAATTTACATATATTTAAACGAAACAAATAATTGTAAATTTCAATCTAAGCTAATTGTTTACAATTGTATCTTGTTTCTTAAACTTTTGGTAGTTTATTTTTTTGAAATATATATATTTATAAATATAAGTATTATTATTTGTTAAGATTAAGTTTACGTAGTTTAAAACATAAAATTTTGTGTATATATTGAATAATACTTGAAATTGGAAACTTAAATTAAAAAATAAGTAAAACAAATAATAATAATGTAGTAGGTTATATTATTGTATTAAAATTCAAGTTTAGGTTTTACGAATGTATTAAATAAATTACAAAGATTTACGGTAAAGGTAGATACTTATAAGGTAGTTAAGAACTCTG